TATAGGAGTGTTAGGTGTATAGCAGTGATTAGATATTTATATAATTTACAAAGAGATCCCCCCATTAGGTCTAATTACCACCTGGCACCAGGCATCGCTATTACAATGTTACCGAGTATATTCCCTAGGTTGTCCTTTACATCCCTGTGACTGCTCTGTAACTACCAATCTGTACTTTTTAATCCCTTCACCTTTTCCACCCAGCCCCACAAACTTCCTCTCATCCAGTGATCAACAATTTGTGTGATACCCAACAGAATCTTGTCTTTTTTTTTCTTTACCTGGTGGAGAAAAAGAAAAAAACAACTCTGTAATTCTAATTTGTGGCCAACAGATTCATTTGGAAGATGGTGATTGGTTCTTGCAGATGGAGGGGGAAGCCCCGAGTTTCTTTAGTTCAGATATGATACAAAATATCCTCATATTTTGTATTCGAAATATCCTCATATTTTGTATTGCTTCCTTTCATTGTTTTTACATTTAATCCTCACCTGAGGACAAGTTTTGTTGACTTTGGAGAGAGGGAAGGAGAGAGAGAGTGTGAGACATGGAGAGAACGTGGATGTGAGAGAGGAAAGTTGATCATTTGCCTCCCACACACACCTGATTGGAGATCGAACCAGCAACCTGGCTATGTGCCCTGGCCAGCGATCCAACACCCCAACTTTTGCTTTGAGGGACAATGCTCCAACCAACTGAACAATCCGCCAGGGCTCTAAGTATTCTTTATGATTATTTTAATTACCTTTGCCCAGAAGGTGAGGGGAAATGATAACATTTATAGCCAAGAACCTAACGGTGTTCTGGTCTTTGGGAGGACAGAAAAGCCTGGCTTACAGAGTTCTTCCTATGCCCAAGGAAACAGACGCAGAAGGCGGGCCCTGGATGGTGGGGTAGCGTCAGAGCCGGCGGATGTGTGGAAGGACTTTTCTTTAGTGTGAACCTGCACAACCCTTCCTTCCTGTCCCCCATGATGACCTCTGAGGGAGCCCTGGACTTGGGCCTCAAGCCCCTTTCAGTATCTGCCTGTCTTGGTCCCTCTGGGCAGCTGTAACAAATTTCCACCTACCAGGTGACTTGGAGGCAACACTGTGTGTGGCTCACAGTTCTGGACGCTGTGAGTCCTGGATCAATGTTCCTGCACGTCCGCGTACAGGCACGGTCCTTCCTGTGTCGTCAGTTCATAGGAGGGGAAATACAAGACGTCTCTCTGGAGCCTCTTCTCTAAGAAACACATCCCACTCACAACGACTCTGCTCTCATGATCTGAGCACCTACCAGGGCCTCACCTCTTAGAACATGAGTGGGTTTTATCATCAATTTTTTAAAAAGCAATTTATTAATATATTTTACAGAAAGAGAGGGAACGAAAGAGACAGAGATGGGAAGAGAGAAAAAGAGACAGACAGACAGACAGAGAGACATTGGTTGGTTGTTGAAATTCTTCATGCATCCGGGATCCAATCCACATCCAACCGAGCTACCGGCTAGGGCTGGGGGTTATAAATTCTGCACATGGGTTTATGGACACAAACATACAGACCACAGTATGGCCCAAGGTGCATTCAGTCCACTGTATTTCCAAATGTGAAGCACACTGTTGAGTTACTGAGGAAGGAATTGTCTGATTCATGATTGTATTAAAAAAAACAACCCATATATTAGTTATTTTCATAACATGCACCAATTCTGGCAGACTTTGAAAATAATGGGACTTCATCTCATTCCAAATTCTTTTTCCTTCCCTGCTGCCTCAGGTTAAGAGGGTACAGAGAGGCATCCACATTCAATGAGAGACAGAAACATGAGTGACACTCACACACACAGAAACCACATGGGAGGGTGACTACATCCCGGCAGAACTTCCTGAGAGGCCAGCACCTCCTGCAGGGGAATTTGAAAGAGGACAAGTGTATGTGGGGGTCACTGAAGGGCAGACACTTCTCTGTGTTCTTCTGTCTGTAGCTGTGTGTGTATCTGTCATTGCATCTCATTTCATGATCCAGGATTTTTCAGTCAGAACCGAATACTGCATGGCAATTCACACTCCTGTCCTCATACCCTACCGTAAACCTGGGAAGTCTCAGAAAAGCGGAATTTTGTTCAGGGTGGAGGAGCTCCATGGCTCCTGCCATACAAGGCTGTACCCAGGTTGCAAGGGCCCAATCCCTTTCTCTCACTAACTGGGACTCCGGGGCATAAGGACCTGCAGGGATCCTCCTGAGTCTGGCCTCACCTGAAACACCCCCAGCACTTCTCCATCTCCCACCTGCCCAGCCCAGGCAGGAGGGGCAGCTCAGGACCAGGCAGGCTCAGCACAGTTTCACCCAGGGTGCTGCCCACCCACGGGTCCCAGTCCCTCCTGGGCTGAACCCTCCTGGTTCTGCCCTGAGAGTGGACGGGAGGGACCCCTTACCTGGCTGGTCTGAGCTCCACAGCTCTGTGCAGGGATTTCTCAGGCAGGGTGGCTCCTGACCCCAATTACAGGGACAGAATGTGTGGTTCTGACCTCCCCACACAGATGCCACTATCATGTCATCTGTCCTGTCAGTGACACCATCTGGGTGAGGAGTCTGGGGTGTCTGTAATTATAGCAACTTGTCCTGTGCAGATGCCCCTCAGGCACATCTGGTGATTGGGGACAGTGATGATCAGTACTGAGATGCCTTGAGGAGCAGCAGGGAGGAGGCAGAGAAAGTGTCCCCTGTTCCCTGAGGAGGAGCTGAGCTTAAAGTCACATGTCACTGGGATGCAGGGACATCTGGGCCAGGAGCTCATGTCATGGTGTTTCCCACTGGCCCCTTTCCTTCAACTCCTTTTCTTCTCAGTACCCCATCCCCAAGTCCCTCACACTGTCATCCCTGTGATCCAGGCTGGTCTCCCGGTGGATTCTAGTCCCACAGCTCTTGTTGCTAACACCTCAGGTCCGGTCTGTGGCTTTTCCTGAAACAGAGTGAGCCCCCAAATCCCACATAGAAATCCTTTTATGTTTTGATTAGAAAATATCGGGGACCATTAAGCTTCAGAAATCACTCAGGGGGTAATCCCAGAGAGCGTGCATTCTGAGATTTTCATTATGTTGACCTGAGAGCCACTTTCTCAATCTTCTGCTTGACTTTACCCCACAGTAGAGAAAATGCTGTGCCTTTCACATCATATGACAACATATGAATGACCTTTCCCCACCCTGGGCCCTACCACATCACAGAATTGTGTGGTTCAAAATCTTTCTGAGATCAGGATGGCTTGTGGGCTTGTCAAAATCTACTCGAATTTCTCAAAAACTGCTGACAGAATGTTGGGCATGATGTCCAAGTTAGCACCTTTTTAAACTTAAAATATTTTTCTTTTCTTTTTATCTTTTTATCAATATTTATTCCCATATTCCCTTTCCCACCTGTACCAACCCTTGCCCCCATATTATTACATGTTGTCTGTGTCCATGAGTTAAAACATATATATACATATTAAACATGTGTATAGCTTATTCAGTAATATCCCTGATAATTCTAGCTCCAATCTGACACCACACATAATTATGATAATATTATTGACTATTTTCCCTAAGCTGTACTTTACACTCTAAAATAAATGTTGAGGACAGATATGGGACAACTAGCACATTGTCATTGACTTGGGTAAAAGTTATAAGAGGAGCTACAGAGGGTGAGTGGAGAAGCAGTGAAGAGCACAGCAGGAGAATCTCAGAATATCTCCCAATAAATTCCTAATGAATGACAAACACCAAATGCTGAATGTATGATAGGGACACCGGACTGTCACCAACCTGGGGAGTCACCAGGATGAACATCCCCACTGTTGGGACAGGGAGGTACAGAGTCCAGTCCTTGTTGTTTCCTCTTCCGCAGTCCTTACTCCCTTGGTGGCCTCATCCATGCTCACAGCTTTAATGTCATTCTCATAGCATCACCTGCACACCTATGTCTCGAGCGCAGACATTTCTCCTCAAGGTCCCCACACTCATCTGTCCAACCCGAAATCTCATTGGTGTGTGTAATGGACATCTCACCTTGACCTCCTCTTCAGCTGAAAGCTTGAAATGCCCACCCTTCCCCCACACATACTCCTGCCAGAGTCTTCCCCCTCTCTGCTGATATAACCCCACCTTTCTGCTGGCACAGTACAAATGTGGGGTGTCCTCCTTGACTCCTTTCCCACACCCCAGGTTGAATCCTTAGGAAATGCTGTGAAATCCACCTTTCAAATGCATTCAGTGTCCAGTCCTTTCCCAATGTTTCCACCACTCACAGCCCCATCAGAACACCTAGCACCTGCAGCCTGGAACCCTGGGAGCTTCCCCACACCTCTCCCTCCTGCCTCGCTGGTCCCTTGTCTCCTGATTCTGTTCTCAGCCCAGCAGACAGACTGACCCTGTGGTCCGAGGGCTCTATCTTGAGGAGGATCTCTTAAAGGAAGCCACTAAGGAATTCCGCTCCTTGGCCTTGAACTTCCAGGACTCAGCATCTGCAGAATGAGATCAGTGTCTGCAGTGGATTAAGGACAGTGGATGCTGGAATAGTTCCTGCTTTAAGCAGGTGTCCTCACCTTCAGATTGGTCAGCTCTCTGATCCCACATTGACACCCTTGAGATCTACAAGTTGGGGGCCTGGAAGCTTAGGGTAACTTCTAGGCTACAAAGAGGCACTCCATTAGAATCTGGGCACTCAACCAGCCGTGGCCAGAAGCTCCAAAAGGTACATTCAGATGTGTGGGAAGGAACCCTTAATTGCCTATGGGGCACAGGTGGTCACAGAGAACATCACTGGGGAGTCGTGTGGTCCCCTTGTCACATGGCACATGGTCTGTCCCTCCTGGGTTGTCTCCACACCTGATGGTAAGTGTATGAACTTAAAGTGACTAGAACAGCTTAACAAATGATGTGAAGGTGTAGATAGAATAACACCTACCAGAAACAACATGCCTTGGAGCTTTGAATTTAAATCACTTCTGATTTATATATATATATCTCACTAATCTTAAAATAATGCAGGGATGTTGAGATGATTAAATGATGTTCTGATGTTGGGTGCAGAAACAGCAGACGGGGAACCTTAGAGTCCCAAGGGGAGGCTGCAGTGACTATTTTAGCACCAAGTCCTGGAGAAAGCAGCTCTGTCACTCTGGAAAGAAAGTTATTGTGAACAAATTCAGGTCAGTCTCAGAAGCGTTACAGTCTCCCACAGACACCATATGCTCCGAATGTCCCACTAAGAGAATTCCCAAAATCCAGTTGTGTCCCTGTTCCCAATGCCCCCCACTTCCTGCCCTGAGGGTCTCACCATCAGGAGCTGTGAGAGACACATCAGGGCCCTGGGCACTGTTGTTGCCTGGGGAAGACACAACAGCAGAGTTACAGGGTGGGGGAGTCCCCTCCACAGACTCCAGCCCACACTCTCCCAAGGCTCCTAGACATCACCTCCCCAACACCCAGACTTACAGGCAGCCTGAGTGTAGCTCTTCTTGCCCCTGTCTGTGGAAAGGAAAGTTTCTGTGAGAAGTCGTGGGTAGGCTGGGTCCCATGCCCCTAAAAAAGAAAACCCATACTCTGGAGCACAGGGAAGGTTCCAGAACTGCAACTAAACACCCACGTTAGGATCAGGAAAGACAGGGAAAGTACATGTGTGGGGACTGGACCTACCACCACTCGGGACAACTGTCCTGAGCAGGGACCTTCCCCTCTGGACTCTGACAGATGGAAATTGGTCCCTGTCGCTAGAACCATCAGGTGATAAATGTGTCCCAGACTTTCCCACAGGCCTCATTAAAGAGTCAGTGTTAGCAAATAGGCCCCAGATGGACAAGCACCTGTGTGGGGATATGATGTCCATTAAGGAGGCAGAGCACACTTGCACCTGGGCTTGACCTCCAGGGGGACAGGAAACTCAGCCCTTGCCCCTTGCCCACCTGAGCACTTCCTCCTCCACAGCACAGCTCCAGTGACCACAGCTCCAAGGAGACCCAGAGCAGCAGCAATGCCCACAATGGTGATGGTGGTCTGAGGAGGGGGGTCTGTGAGGGGAAGGTGAGAGGTCAACCTCAGGCCTGAGTCCTGACCCTGCTCAGGGACACCCTGGGGAGAGGCTCTGTGCCCAAACCCCCTCCTCACCCCATCTCAGGGTCAGGGGCTCAGGCAGCCCCTGGTGCTGCACATGGCACGTGTATCTCTGCTCCTCTCCAGGGGGCAAGACCACAGCTGCCCACTTCTGGAAGGTCCCGTCCCCCGCAGGCCTGGTGTCCACAAGCTCCATGTCCTGGATCAGGTCCTCCCCTTCACGCTGCCAGGCCAGGGTGATGTCCGCAGGGTAGAAGCCCAGGGCCCAGCACCTCAAGGTGACCTCATGGTCAGAGATGGGGTGGTGGGTCACATGTGTCTTTGGAGGGTCTGAGGGGAGGGTGAGAAAATTCGAGAACTCTGCATGGTCATGGGATACTCCAGCAGTGCTCATGTGACCATCCTGAGAGTGGACAGGACAGTGGGGGTGGGGAAAGGGAGTGCACCACCCAGACACCAGCCTGGACAGAGACATGGGGGATAATCTCCTATTTCTTGGAAAGTTCTAGAATCAGGTTGAGAGCCGAGGGTAGGGTATGCAGGACTCTAAGAGGAGATACAGACTTAGGTGGATGCTGAATGGCTGAAAAAGCCAGAGTCAGGCTTCCAGAGAACGTCTCAGCCTGAGAACTAGGGAGAGTGGCTTGGTGCACCAGGTGCTGGAGGGTGTGAGGCAAGGGTGTCAAACTCATTTTCACTAGAGGCCACATCAACTTTGTGGTTGCCTTCGAAGGGCTGAATGTAATTTCGACTCCTTAACAGTTACGGAGTAGTGGCATTTATACAGTCCTAAAATTATTTTTGGCTGTTTGAAGGCAATGTTGAGGCTGATGTGGCCCCTGGTGAAAATGAGTTTGACACCCCTAATAAGGGAACTGCTGTGGGGTGTTTCAGGGAGAGGCTGGGTCCCTTACTGTCCTTTAGAGAAAGCTGGGCCCGTGGGTGAGTCACAGAACAAGGAAACCTGGGGAACTCTTCCCTCTCTGGACCTTGAGGGGAATTGTGACACTGCCCCATTTCCCTCCTCTCCTTATAGGAAGCCCCCCCCAGCCCACAGATCCCCTCCTTGGGGAGGCCCGCATTTTGGTACCTGCTCGGAGCAGCGTCTCCTTCCCCTTCTCCAGGAACAGGTGAAGCCAGCGCACGCAAGTGTCCTCTAGGAAGACCCTCCATTCCTCCACATCTCTGTCCTGCAGGAAATTGCGCTGTACGGTGATCTGGGTTGTCTTTTTGGCCTCGGTCGAAGATCGCAGGTCCAAGTTCAGGATGAAGGATTCGGTGCCATCGTAGGCGTACTGACCGTACCCGCTGAGGAAGCGTGGGTAGGACCCCACAACGCAGCCCGTCATTTCCTGCAAGGTGTGACACCCTGACCGCGCACTAAAGTCAGCCCGGTCCACTTATTCCCCCTGGAGGACAGATGTGCGCCCCACCCGAGCAGCAGAGACCTGTACCACGGGGCTTAAACGTAAACTGAGTGGAAGTAAGACTGGGTTGGGAATCCCTGGGCTCCTCCCGGCATGGTGGCAGGGCGCATCCCCGAGATTCGAAGGGATTCTTGCCTGTCCGTGGGGATGGGGGTAATGCCTAGACCTGGGCACACATGGCTCACCTTCCTGGCTCTGGTTGTAGTGGGCGCGCAGGTTGGTCAGCTTTGCTCGGGCAGCCTGTTCGTAGTGCTTGCAGAGCCTCGTGAGCTCCTCCCAGAATTCTGGATCCTCCTGCTCCACCCACGGCTGCTCCGCCCACCGCACCCTGGACTGCACCCTCGGGTGCGGGGTGTCGCTGTCGAACCACAAAATCTGCGTGTCGTCCACGTAGCCGACGACGATGTACCGGGACTTTCCGAGTCCGGACAGGAAGGTGGTGAAATATCTCAGGGAGTGTGGGCCTGGGGACGGGGAGGATGCGTGCCCTGGGTACGTGTTGGGGGCGGTAGCGGCAGGTGGCCCAGGAAACGGAAAAGGATTCGGTGGTTGAGAGGAGGGGTGGGTGCGGAGGGAGAGGGTCTGGAGTCTGGGGTTTTGGGGTGCGCTGTCCTGGGTCCTCAGCCCCTGCCGGTCCCCTTCCCTCCTTCCCCGCAGAGGCCTTCCCCCGACCCCGCACTCACCAGCCCAGGTCTCAGTCAGGGCCAGGACCCCCGAGAGCAGCAGGAGCAGGGCTCGGGGCCCCATGACCCAGACCCCGAGCGTCTAAGGAGAAAGAACTCGGGTACTTCGTGAGGACTTCATACTCAAAAGCACGGTGACACCGATTGGCTCGTGCAGAGTTGGAACATACAAACCAGAATCCCAGAATCGCAGCAGAACGTCAGGAGTATCCAGGCAGAAGGACCTGTGAGAAGGAGAAGGGAAACCCCGGGGAGAAGGGCACACCCAACACTGAAAGTTCCCGCCCCAGACTCGGTCCTCGGGCTGAGACCCTGAGAGCCTGGCTTGGGGACTTGGGAATCTGCCCCAACCCTCTTCCTGCACGGAGAGCTCTGTGCTGCTGTCTCCCTGAGTCCCTGCCCACGTGCTGTTCCATTAAACGATTCCCAAACATTTTGGTGTCAGAACATTTATACAGTCTTAGAAAATAGGGACGACCCCCAAAATAATTTTGTCTATGTAGGTTATAGCTATCAATAGCTTATCAATAAGGAGTAAAACAGTTTGAAAAATTAATTCATTGGGAATATTAATCATGAATGATATGTTAAGAGAAACAATATTTTCATGAAAAATAACTATTCCCAAAATAAACAAGGGAGTGAGAAAAGTGGATCTGCTTAAGTTTTACTTTTTTGCAAGTCTTACTGCTTCTCCGTATCATTACAAGCCTGATGTATTTTCATATTTGCTCCTGCATTTAATTTGTTATTTTGGTGGCAATATGTGAAGAAATATACAGACCCAGAAATATGTAGGAGGAGCATTTTAATAACCTTTTTAGATAAGTGTGGATATTCAGCTTTGATTGTACCCTAAAGCTACATAAGTGGTAGTTCCTGAAAAACTCTTTGCAAAATGGAAACTGAAACAAATCCATTGAGTATTTCCTATTCTGGTACATTACTTTAGTGCCTCTTGTACTGATGCAGGATTATTTACAATTAACCAATTATTTCACTAATTGATAGAGATCTCCCAGTGTTGTTGCATTTAATTGCACATGATCAAAAATCACAATTGTTAACATTACCGCAGACCCCACTGGAAACGGTTGTCAGCTCTGGGAAGCTGTCTGGCTGCCGTGGTGAGACACATGTTTGCCAGAATCCTGGTTTTCCTCTGAGAGCTTCCATTCCATCCAGACAACAAGTGCTGTCAGGTGTCAACTGCCCATTGACTCTCCTTGAGGGAGAAGTTCATGTTCATTTGACAGAGTGTTTGCCAGTTCACCACACCTCAGTCATCACAGGTTCTGTGTCTCTCATTCTCTTAAGTGAACTTGCTGTTCTGTGAAGAAGAGGCTGGCTCAGCCCTCACAGGTCACTTTCCTGGGCTCATGGCACTTGGGAATGAATGTAGCGGAAGTGTGTTTGTGCATTTTCCTGGTCATCATAGGAGACATTTTATTTTTTGTCCCCCATTTTCATTAAGGACAGTTAGGAAATTAATCCATTTGTATAATGAATTCAAGACATAGTTACATTCTTTTTAAGTGTTTTATTTCATTTTTCAGTTACAGTTGATGACCAATATTATATTAGTTTCTACACAACTTTGCTGTCTTCATTTGTGTGTGAGGGTCTTAGATATACCCTCAAAATACAGCATACCCAAGAAAGATTAGTTAATATCCACAGAACAATTAGAGTGTATAGATATCAACAAAAATGGGATGTAATGCCTTAAGGTTTTAAATGATGAAAAATGCTCCTCACTGGAGTTGGTCCTTGTGCACATCACTTTGGGACCCTTGGTGTCGTTTTTGTGAACGTGGAGACATCAGCAGGCTCACTCATCTTTATTAATTCAAGAAATAAATATGTGCCCTGGCTGGTGTGGCTCAGTGGATTGAGCGTGGGCTGCGAACCAAAGTATCGCAGGTTCGATTTCCAGTTAGGACACATGCCTGGGTTGCAGGCCATGGCCCCCAGCAACCGCACATTGATGTTTCTCTCTCTCTCTTTCTCCCTCCCTTCCCTCTCCAAAAAAATATAAATAAAATAAAATAAAAGAAATAAATATGTGTGAGCACAACATGTACCACAGTCCTGTAGGCCCTGCACATAATTAAAAAGTTGTAAAGAGGAAGATGTAAACTTTGGAGTTCCAACTTAGATTCCTCACTGATTTGTCTTCCTCCTATTTCCCCCAGAATTCAAGCAATTCTGTTTTCCTTCACCCTTGGAGGCTGTCCCTTAGATAAAAATATATATGAAATTTCTACAATTGTGGAATAAAAAATTCTCTAAGACCAAAAGATGACAAATCAAGAAGGAAAACATGAAACTTTTCTATGTCAACCAAATGCACCAGAGATACAAACTTACGCTCATAACCAAACTCAAAGGCACATAAAAATGTTGACAGAGGAAGGTAAGGTGTGTCAGTGTTCTTCCACCAAAGACCCTGAGGAGTGCCTGGGGCAGACAGTGGGCTGTGTGCATCACTGCTGTGAGGGGGAGTGCACACTCAGGGATGTGGGTGCCTTTGAGAGGCGGGGTGAGACAGGATGTGTCCCAGATGTGGGCTCTGGACTGCAATCTCAGGAGGATCTGTACACAGGCCCTCTAGATTGGCGTCGTGAGGATGTGGGGGTAAGTCTGTGATTGGCATCTCAAGAAATACTTAGGGACGCAGCAGACAGGAGCAAGGGTGAGGAGTGATAGGAAAGATTCTGCCTTCCTTTCTGTTCGCAGGCCCAGGAGCTGCTTGGTAGTGTGTGAGCTACACCATTCTTCCTTTCTGTGTGTGCTGAGACAACACGTAGTGTGGTGATGTTTTGTCTCACTTCCCCATGGTGTGGAGATGCTCTGGTCTGATGCTGATGTTCTGAGAGAGCATGAATGTTCAACCATCTGTCTGTTTGGCAAGGATGAAAGCAAACGGTAAGTGTTTGAGTCAGAGGGTGGGGAACACATTCTGTTGTAAAGGTTGAAGGTATTGAAAACTGGGACAAAACTCCTGAAGGATGCTTTTATAAAAGGTCTCAGCAGTTTAAATGTGCTTCCATTTTGACACAAAAATTCCTCCTTTAGGATTTGTCCAAAGAAGATAATCACACATGTCCTCAAAATATTTATTCAGGGATATTTCTTGTATTGTGGTTTTATAAAAGGAAAAGGATAGAATGTCTCTAAATGCTCCAATCAACAGAATGATAGTAACTATGGACAGAGGATTGCTTAACATGCCTCAGGCAGTAATGCCATGGGATTTACCTAGAAGGTCAAGTGTAATCTTCAGAACAAACCCAACTAGGCCTTCAGTACAGCATCCTTGTGGGGCACAGGGGAAATAAGAGTCAGAGAGGTTCTGGGTGGTGGAGCTTCAGTGAATGCAGGGTGTTTTCCCTCAGATCCTTGTTGACCCACTTTCAGTGGGTCCCTTGGCAGCCATTGTCACCAGACAGGCCTGAGCCTGAGCGGTTCTGCCTCAGGACAGCCTGTGGTGTGTGGTGTGTGAGTCCTTGACTTTCTCTGGAAAATGTTCCAGAACCTGAGTCCAGGGGATTTTGAACATATGTTTATTAAAGCTGGGGACAGTGATGCTAAGGAAGGACTTAGGGTAGAAGAAGTCACTGGAGAGAGCCTAGGTGGGTCTTCTCTGGTTCCTGGGAATGTTACAGGAAAGGGGTGAGCCAAGGCCGGGCTGCAGTCAGCTCACTGGAGAGTCAGGGAAAAGGGGGCCTAAAGGTCAGGATGGGGGATATGCCTGAGACAAGCTGCTGCTGCCCACTGCTCCCCTGGCTGATAATACCAAGGGCACCTTAGAGCTCAGAAGGACAGAAGGAAGTTCATGTCTGACAGAGATGTGTGGGTTCACTCTAGAGTGAGCTTCCGCAGGTCTCTTTCTAGAGGGTTTTTATCTCTCTTCTTAGGGTGAGAAATTTAGCGGAGGGTTCCAGCAGAATATTCATTGGCTTTCAGGGGTATTTTTAACATATTGCTGTGTCAAAATAAGTACATGGAGGGGTTGTGATTATTCTTCAGTCAATTCATTATTTTACTTTTATCTTTGGTCTGTCCAGCTGCAACACTTTTTTGTTTTTTGTTTTGATGTTTGTTCCCCTGACTTCATCTGTCCTTGTGTTATTCTGGCACAAATGTCATTAATTTGGTCTCTATTGTTTATTTTTTTCCAACCAGGGTGATTGAATCTATTCAGCCTCTGTTTAGGGAGGAAGACAGGTAAAATCATTTGTTGTCACATGTCCTTGGTTAGGGGAGATAAGGTCTTTTGATTCACCAGTGGGCTGGAAGTTGTTCAGTCTCTTCGGCCAACTTCAATGTTCTTTTATAAAAATAATTTTATTGATTGTGCTATTACAGTTGCCCCATTTCCCCCCTTTATTTCCCTCTGTCCTGCCCCCCACATCCCACCCACATTCTCCCATCTTAGTTCATGTCCATGGGTTATGCATAGAAGTTCTTTGGATTCTCCATTTCGCATACTATTCTTAACCTCCCCCTGTCTATTTTGTACCTACAAATTATGCTTATTCTCTGTACCTTTTCCCCCATTTTCTTCCTTCTACTTCCCACTGATACCCCTGCATGGGATCTCCATTTCTGTAACTCTGTTCCTGTTCTAGTTGTTTGTTTTTGTTTTTCATTTTATTTTTTTTTAGGTATTGTTGTTGATAGCTGTGACTTTGTTGTCATTTTACTGTCCATAACTTTGATTGTATTGTTTTTCTTAGTCCCTTTAAGTTTTCATACAAGGGCTTGGTGATGATGAACTCCTTTAACTTGACTTTATCTGGGAAGTACTGGATCTGCCCTTCCATTCTAAATGATAGCTTTGCTGGATAGAGTAGTCTTGGATGTAGGCCCTTACCTTTCATGACTTTGAATTTTTCTTTCCAGCCCCTTCTTGCCTGCAAGGTTTCTGTTGAGAAATCACCTGATGGAAAATCAGACTGATTGAGAAATCAGTCTTATGGGAACTCCTTTGTAGGTAAGTGTCTCATTTTCTCTTGCTGCTTTTAAGATTCTCTCCTTATCTTCAATCTTGGGTAATGTAATTTTGATGTGCCTTGGTGTGTGCTTCCTTAGGTCCAACTTTTTTGGGACTTTCTGTGGTTCCTG